GACCGCCTTCGTCAAGAGCAAGAGCAGAATATAGAACTGAGATTTGTCTATGCAGACTGGATTCACTGGATTCACTGTCTGGGTACGTCACTCAGGGACTAACTAGTTGCAGCCATCACAACCATGAAACCACTGGTTGTGTAACATGAAAGTCCTAGTAATGACCTTCTAAGATCCTAAAAATAAACTATAATTATGATCTGAGGCAACTCTCCGTTCTTCTAAGTGAACTGAACTGCAACAATAAATATATTTTGTTGGTGCAGTGTTTAGAAATGATGCCTCACAGAAGGAAAGTCCATGGTTTCCAGTCTGGGGTCCTTGTGCATGGAGTTTGTATGTTCTCCCCGTGTCTGTGTGGGTTCTAGATCTGAGTGTAAACGGGTGCCTGGGCTCTCTGTGTGAGCTCTATGACAAATTAGTCATCTGTGCTAGGTGTACCAGAGCCCTGGCCCTATGACAGCTGGGATAGGCCTTAAACATCCCCAGTTAAATTGAGGAAAATGAATGGATGGCTATCCAGTTATAGAGCATAACAAACCTTGCACGATCTCATATCGTCGTGTTGGTGTTGTTCCCAGATCAACATAGTAAATGTTGTTCCAGGATCAACATTGCAAGTGACCAATCAGAATGTTGTGACGTCATACTTTTGTGACTTCAGAAAAAACTGCCGTAAAACAAAAAAATGTAGTTAAGCTGTGAGAAACCGCCTCTGTCCACCGATCAACGGACCCTAACCCTGACCCTTTAATAAACGCTAAGCAGAATTGATATTGTCCTTGCAACATTGGAATTTCATAAATGCACGAATGGCTTGACGCGCCAAAGAATAACGTCACAACAATGTGATTGGTCACTTGCAATGTTGATCCTGGAGCAACATTTACTATGTTGATCTGGGAACAACACCAACACGACGATATCAGATCATCCAACAAACCTTACGTAGTTTTAAACATCACTATCTCTCCTTGTTGTTTAGGACACAAACCCAGTCTGGCTTAATACAGAAAAATTCCATTGAAGTCTCACTGTAGTAACCACAATTAAATTATATTCAACCAAAATCATCAACTTTACCAAACATTAGTGAAAGTCTCTGGTCTGGAGGGCCAGAACTTTATACACCCGCCATCAACCCAAATTCCTTCTGCAGTTCATAAATATGATTAATGAGGACCTGATGTGTGACAGTAAGCCTTGGCAGTGAACAACCAGAAAAGTTGGCATCTCCCAGAAGCTAAAATGATAAATGAAGCTATAGAATGTGCAGATGGTGAACTATTAGCAATGCTATAAAATAAATTAAATAAAATGCCAATAAAAAACAAAACAAACAAAACACAAGGAACAAACATCTGAGTAAGTGAGCACAGAGCTTCAAACCTGCTAAGTATTACAACATGAAGGAGAAAAACAACAGAAACAAGACTAATAATAATGAAGATAAAAAGAATAAAAGAACAACAATAATAACTAGAACAAGAATGAGAGGAAGAAAAATAATTACCACAAGAAAACCAGGAAGAACAAGGAAAAGAACAGTAATAAAAACAAGTGGTACAAGGAGATAATAAGAGCATGAAATTAAAGAATCCAAGTTAAAGACGCTTTAAGAAGTTATTAGGATTTTCTTCCTCCTTCTTTATGCAACTTAATTTGCAGATGTGAAGTAAAAAAAGATTCACCGTCATCAGACCTTCTGAGGTTTTATTCCTCCCTTTATCTAAAAAGTGACTTAATTTTAGTCCAAACTGTTTAATCCACTCTGAGTAACCCTAGGCCATGTCGAGCACACTAGTTTTTGGCATCATGTAGTAGTCGCTCCAGGCTGGAGACAGAACGAAGCCCATGCTGATCAGAGACGAGGATTTGTCCACCGGTTGGTACACAGAGTAATTTTAGCCTTACATCTGCTGTGGGAGATTTCAGAGCTCTACTGCCACACTGCCCGGGCCTGCTGCCAACAATGCAATTCTGTGTGTGTTTGAAAGTGAAAACTCCCCAAACCCTCTCGTTTGTCGTCTTGCACACACAGAGACAGATGTTCTAACAGATGCTAAGACAGACCAAGAGCATTGTCACACAGCTCAACACACATTCTTAATCCTGTGAAGCTTGTTTGTGCCTCACTGACAGATTTGTTTTAAAGCAACAATTTGTGACACCTTTCCTCCCTAAAGTCCTCTATAATCTACTTATTACTAAATGAAGAACCTACGCTGATGGCAGCAGTGTAATAAAACACTTATGAATGCATTTTAAATCCTGATAATGGAGCTGGGATCAGCGACTGGTAAAGATGGAAGAGGGTGAAGAACAAACCTCTTCATGGATCTTCTTCAAGAAAGCGATTTCCTCCTGCAGCGTCTCAATGCGTCTCTCCAGGTCCAGACGGGCCAGAGTGGCAGCGTCCACATCCTGCAACATTAAAAATGTTAATTTTATGTCAAAATGAGATAAGCATGGAATAATTATCGACATATTTTCCATTGAATCAAAGTGTATAATGATAAAAAAAAATGCATATATTACAAACTTCCATTAAGTTTGCCACACCAGCAGGCTAATTATTGTGAAACATGGGTGGCAAATATATGGCCCATGGGCCAAAATGCAGACCAACTAATCCAGTCCACTTGATGGCTTTGAAAATGTTAGAAGTACAAAGAAAGAAGGAATAAAATTTTTTTTAACTTTTAACAGTATTTTCCCCTTTAAAATGTTGTAACCCAGATTTATAGCCTTCTTACATCCATAGTCTGCCATAGTACACCAAAAAGTAACAGAAAAAATGAAGATATATTTTATTTATCACATTCATATTATTATATTAATATTATTATTATCATAATTATCTTATTTTGTTATGTTTATAGTTATTTTTTATGTTTTTGCTTTTCATTCTTTCTTTTTTTTCTTCTTCTTCTATCATCTTCAGCATTCTTCTTCTATCTTCTAGTATCCTCCTCCTCCTGTGTGTCCTCCTTCACTACATCCATGACTCTTCACTGTGAACTTGCCTTTTCCTCCTGCCTGGCAGCTCTATCTTCAACATCCTTTGTCCAATAACAAATATCCACTATCCCTCTTCTGTATGTCTGAACCATCTCAGCCTTTCCCATCTAACACTGTATTTATTGGGGAAAGTACAGGAAATGAGAGTGGGACATACCGCTCTGAAAGCAGCCAGGTTGTTTTCTGCTTCTTCTTTTTGAAGAATCTCTTCCTGGAGTCTGCAGGACAGTGAGACACAAAGCATGGTTTCAGACAGAGAGCCATTAATGAGCAACTGGATTAATGATTGGTTTGAACACACTGTAGAAGCTGCTGTCCACACACCAGGGAGCTCTGCAGAAAGACGTTAAAGCTGAATTAGGCTAAAAAAGTTCAAAGATGCATCATTTCATAGCCTGTATATAAAAGATGGATGTTGCCAGTGTGCTCTCACCCATTGGTTAGTGACGCCTCAGGTTTAGCAATTTCATTTTGGTGTTTTTAAACCAGACGTGACTGCACACAAGGTGGCCTGCCCGATCGCACATCCTTCTTTATCATCCTTTCTAACCTTAAATGGTCTGAAAAATTTAGAAAATAAACATTATATTGTAATAAATAAGATTTGAAACTATCATCCAGAGGTGACGCCCCCTGCTGGCAATTAGAAACAATGCAGGTTTAGCACAATTCCACATTGGCTTCAGACTTGGAAGTCCATTAAAAGGACGCTTTTCCAAAATAAAAGATGAAAGTGCATCCTTTAACTTGAACTTGTTCACTTTTTATACCCTGTAAAGGTCACTGATCGGTTACAGACTCCCCTTGTGGAATAGATTTTCTAAAGCCTGAGGAGGTTAGGAGGCTTGTTTGATCTTTGACTCTTGAAATACAAAATGCTTAAAGGTTATCATGGCAACTTTTTTTGTCCAGTAAAGTCAAAACACACACTGCCTACCACATTTAATTATTTAAGGTGTCAGAAGAGCGCCTTTAAGTCTCAACCTCAAGGAAAGAAATGAACTTTTGCTTGTTAAAAACGTAAACTGCAGACAGAGAAAGGACAGATCCTTCAGATATGTGTGAGCTTGTTCCTCTCCTTTTATAGAAGAGAGCCATGTAAACACAGTGTGTGATTAGCACTAACTTTGGTCAGTCTCAAGTAGTAACACACACACTGACACACACATGCCTATTAATCACATCAAATCAGTCACCAATGCTTTTTGGAGTCAGAGAAAAATGATGCTCAGCTCTGAGATTAACAGCAGTTTATGTCACATTTTGAATGGACTGATTGAAGAATTTTATGCTCAGGAGCACTTCATAATTATGTCAGGCCTTAAGTTAAATCATGGCACACATGTATATTTATTGATGCAGACTGGTTTGAGCTGTGCAAAATGCCTCTATAATCATCGCCTATTTAAATATTCGCTTTGGAGTTTTCAGGGGATCACACTTCTCTCATTTCTCATATCAGGACTAGAAGATCTGAATATCTGCTTTGATGTTTTCATCATCTCTGCAGGTGTAAAATGAATAGCAAGACTTGTCATGCTGTAAATAACAATGCAGTAATAATATTAATAAATAATATTATTAAATAAAGAGCTACGTAAATTTTTTTTTAAAATTTCTATCATTTAACTCAAATTGAATTTGTCAGAAGCATGGTAACAGAGCTTACAATATAAAATTATTTTATAATAAACATATTTATTGATGAAGTTACATTTTATATTTTCATATAAACTTTATAATGCTGTATAAATTAAACAAAATATATAAAAATTAACTACAATGAGGCTAATTATAAGATATTAAAACGAACATAATTTCCCAGCTTTGTCTTTCATTAAATTAATAAATAAAATTTTCTTTTCCAGTTATTAACAACACAGCTTTTTTATTCAAATAATGGAGTTGTATCTAATTTAACACCAGACAATAGTTAGTTGTTGCCACTATAAGCTAACTGTCCTAATACAGAAATTAAGGTACATATTTAAACTTATCTAATTAAACACACAGTAATTAATCCTGTTCATAAGTTCAATATCCATTGATATATTAGAAAATGTTTTTTTATATTCCATAAATATTCCAGTTAAATCTAATCATAATAAAGAAGAAAGTAATAAAGGATGCTTAATTTGGAAATTATTAATTACTACTGTAAACTACTTAGCTTAGCCTACGAGTTCAATGGTATTCAAACAGACACATTAATCAACAGTTTAATTTTTTTATATATATTTTAGGAAGTTAATATATTATATTAAATAAAAAACCAAATCAACTATAATGGAGAAAAAAGTAACAAGAAGTTTAGCTCAGTAGTGGTGGCCCCATGATCGGATGGTCAGGGGTCCGAATCCACTGAACGGCTACCCTGAGGTACCCCTGACACACTGCTCCCCGGTGCACCTGCTTAGTGACTGCCGAGAGAGTAATTTCCCCACAGGGATCAATAAAGTATACATTTTTATTACTTTTATTATTATTATTACTAGCGGTTAAGCTCAACATTAAATTTCTTTAAGTCAATACTAATTTATTAACCTAGGTCATTATTTCTATATTAGTTAAAAAATTAAAGTAATTTGTTATATTACAACAAATATTGAATCTAATCATAACAGAGAATTACTATCTACATAATATTCATATAGATAGTAATTATTGCTGTTTAGCCTAGTTAGCGTAGCCAAGTAGCAGTAACTACCAAATAACTTGCTTATGAAAATCACATGACTTAATGTTATTAAGCTATGCATTTAATTAGATAAAGATTGATTAATTATGTGGTCACTAATCTTGCTCATTAGTTCAAATGAGGGAAAAACTCATTTGGCAGCTTGTTTCTCGGTAGCTTGCACCCTACACCATTTGAGAGTCCATTGTAATAGTCAGATAGCTTTTTAGCTTTTGTGCCAAGGTTAGTAAAAATAACATTTCACTGATATTCCGATGTTTTGTATAACCCTTTAATATCAGAGATTTTTTACCACAGCATAAACATGTTGTTAGCAGGATTACATAGATTATTTATACTTTTTAAATGACCTAATAAAATACTTTGGTTTATTTTTGCTGATTGTAATATTTTTAGCATCATTATTATTGTTAAGCTTCAGTCAAATATCTGTTTTACTTTGATTTATCTGATTATACGCCCCTCTACATTCTAACATCCTTATACCCAAAATACCCCCTGTAAGACACTCATCCTCGTGACTCACCTGTAATCTTCTTCCTGTGATGATGTATAAATGATCCTGGTATATTTTGATTTAAACAGCTTTGCATTTATACAAAATATGTTTAAAATATATTTAAAGCATTTAGGAAATATCTTGAAAATAGCAAACGTATAATCAAGTAATCTGTTGTAAAGAGCACAATCTGTGAAACCAATAAGATGCACAGAGGAACCAGGGTTTAACAATACTTCCTGTAACTACAACAAACAGCAGATCATCTCCCACACGGCAGGTTAAATCTAGCACACACAAGCCTATGTATCACCTCATTCCTCCATTCATTATTCCACTCCACACACTTCTTTTCATTTTGCATCACACTTTTTCACTACTGCTTGTTGAGCGGTTGGCAAGTGTTCACAGAAAAGTGCAATAAAATGCAAAAACCTGCAGAGTTTTTGTCACATTTGAGTTCCAGATACA